TTTTTTTTAAATGTCGCTGAAAGTATGCCACGGCTGTCTCACGCAATGAGGAAATACAAACAAATATTTATGACTAGAGAGTAGCCTTATTACCGGTGGTAATAAAATTTGTTTGTCTTAAACAATTACTAACTCGCCTTTCATATAAATGATCAATCTTCAACAATAATTGGAAATCTACCACAAAACGTGCTTTGTGGATACCTACTGACACAATATGGATTTATATGGGACATGAGATATAAGCTCATTCCAAAGGTTTAAACAGGTTCTGTTCGTTTCTAAAGGTCTCAGCCAATGTAGTGGACATATATCTTGACAGAAGAGAAAAAAATAATAAAGAAATATGAGTTGATTTCTTATCATCAACAAAATTAATGAAAACATCTCACGAGCGTTCTTGTACTGCGTTTTAGAATATTTGTAATAGGATTGACCTTTCCAAATCCTCCTTTTCGATTTTATAATTAGCACTACTAGAAAATTAGACAGATATTTAGAAAAATTTACGCAAATATTTAATAGTTGACTTGCGACATCCTCTAGCCTTGGATGTATCGTATAATAAAGGTACGAATAATATATTAGACATGATTAAAATTGAAATTAGTTCATTAAATATCCTAAAGATACGTTAATGCTAAGGTCACTCAGAACACGAAAAAATATTTTACTACGATATGGCTGTATTTACATCGTCTCAATATCTAAATAATTTTAACTGCAAAGTTGCAACCTGACTAATAATGTAGGAATGTCGTACCTAAGTCGTAAGTAAATGCTATAACTTCTATTTAAATTTTGTTTGTAAATGTCCATTGCGCTCATTAATTTTTTAATAAATTCTTCTCTACATATTACTAAAATCATTTAAAATGTGTATGGGTGCTTGTGTGTGGACAATATCTCGTCATCAGCGACAAGAATATTAAGCATTAGGCATTTTTAATATTAACCCGCTATTAAAAAAGGTCAGAATTGTTAAGAATTCTACTCGTTCAAAGCAGTATTTAAGAAATTATGTTTGTAGCGCATTTTGCACCGATTCAGCTGTGAAAAACAACAAAGTAAACAGTTTTAAATTATTCTTCCGAGTGTTAATTAAAAAATAATTAGCTACCATTTTTTAAATAGTTGCTTAGTTGTTAACATAGCGATAACTCACACGTAAACACTACCAACATAGTTGTTCGAACTATTGGAAATGTTTTCATTTGAATTAATGACACATCGTTTACAAAATTTATTCACATTGATTACTTTTTATAGTTTTTACATTGGTTTCACATAATTCTGGGTCATAGATTGTCACTTTGTGAAAGTACGCATGAATTCAAACATTTTTTAATCCAAGGATTTTCACTTTTTGCGTTTGTGTATTCAGTTGGCGCAAACAATATGTCCTTTTCTTAATTAATTCAGTGAAATGTGAATACCAATAACGAACCACTAACAACTGATATATTTTTACGAAATGGATTTTTGAACATTAATTTTCAATCGACGCTACGTTCAGCACTCGCTAGCCAAAGAATTTAGCTTTATTTAATAGCCTCTATCAATTAAAGTTACTAACACATTGTATTCTACCTTCACTTTCTCGAAACATGTGTCTTTTTATTTACGTGAAATTTGATATGTGCGTTAGATTGGTTTTGTATGAACCATAACGTTATAATAGCGTTAACTATAATAATTATATTAATACGTAGATGAACAGTTAAATTCATTTTGTCGAGCATGTATAGTAAAACACATGCACATAATTACGTGTAAGAATTTGTGAACGTGTCAATACAACTATTTTTCATCAAACTAGAACTGTGAATTTACATTGCACATTTCAAACAAACACCAGTTTTAACGGTAGTCACTGTTATAATAATTATTTACAGTTCTTAGGTTAAGTAACACCGGAAATGAAATTGTCCTTTTTTAAGTGCAATAATGTATTAAGTCGTCTACATTTTTATAGGGCATTCACTTATTTGTAATGTTAACAGCTTGTGGATACTTACTAAATAGATTTTCGACTTATAAATAATAAAATAAAATAAATCTAGTATGCCCATTGAAAATAAATTCCTGTAAGCGAATTCAGCCTCGCAACAAATACAACGAAATAAAAAACGAACGTAGCAGAACTATATTTTTCTACTTTTAAAGGCATGTTCTAGCTTTATATCCACGTAATTCCAACCACGAAAGATTCCAATAATTCGATTCTACGGTCTAAAGTATTTCCTCAATCAAATCCCGGCCTTCCATTCCTCCATGTCGTTCGTGATATTGAAATCGTCGTCCACTGAAGCGTAAATATGCACTCGAAGAGTAAATGAACTATAAATATCTTGAACTTGTTTTTTTGCGCAATGGTACGTCGTTAGAAAACTGTTATTCGCCGGCAGAAGAAAATTATTGTTTAAAATCCACGATAAGGTTAAAGATGAAAGTGACTGACTGCTGATGGAAACACTTTCACGTGAGAATAACCATTCGAAATGAAATGTTAATGGTGAGAATATGTGATGGGAAATAGTAATTATTTAGAAATCTCTTACGATTACCTTTTGCATGTATCCTGCAACACCTAGGAACGGTCTTCGGTCGGTTTAACATATTAAAATATGCAAAGTGTGATTAGGTATTGTTTTAATAGCTGCTTATTATCTTGATTACGATGATTCGAAGTGGATATGTAGAGACAATGCGAATTAATGTTGTTTTTATTCAGTTCCTCACTCTCGTTGGCCACTCCCCGTCCATTGTTCGGTGGGAATTTAAATGGTATAGTGCTGGTATAATAAATGTATGTACTCGTGTTATGGGAATATTAAATGGTACGTCCGTCAAACAAAGAGCCAATTCCGGCGCGCAGTAATCAAATTTTATTAGCTTTTTAAGAATCGTTAACACAAGATATAATTCAGTCGAATTAGCACATAAAATCTGAAAACTTAAAAAAATTATTAGTAGACGTGTTTTTCCAATTTTTTTACTGTTCACGAAAATATAGACGACCTAACCGAATTTGAAACGTTCAAGTCAAAAACATCTCGCGCGACGAGAGCGACGTTCACGCGCATGCGCGGGCCTGTTGATCCTTCTCCCGCGTGTATGATGTTCATTAACGTCAACTTTTACTGCTACTAGCGCGTTTGTTACATGATAAAACTTTCTGAAAATAAAAGTTTAACCCTTTCTTTAATTGTCTCTAAAATCTCGGTCTGATACGTCCAATAGTTGATTAACAATTAACGTTATAAAAATAAAGCTATATTGAGAACAAAGAGGCGTAGATGATTTCTCGTTTTTTAAAATTGCTGTAAGGAAGCTCTATTTAATGCGAAAAGAGCGAATTCCCGAGCGGCTTTTGCCTGACTCTGTGTGGTAAAAGGGCTAAGGGCTACTTAATTTCAACTTTTTGAAATTTTTCTTTTTCGATACGTTTCTTTGAATCAATTAGAATCAATATCTACGATGTTAACGTCTAAAGTTAACGTTTAGTAATTAAATAACTAGTTGCAAAAAAACGAATGAAATTAATTAACAAATACCTGGAGCAACAATTTCACAGTCAATCGAATCGGTTTTTGGCACACATGTTGATCTTTGGATTGACCGTCTCTTCCATAAATTTCATCAACATCCATCGATTTTTGCAATAATAATGCGCAATTTTCGAAAAACTGATTTTTCCACGTTCAACCTTTATTTTACAGTTAACAAATTGGTGAAATTTGACTGTAGATACCTTAAATTGTAGGTAATTTAATTGCCTACAACGTAAAATGACTAATTTTCCGACAGGTCGTCTAGATTTTCGTGTACAGTAAAAAAAAAAGTGAAAAAAACACTTAAATTTGCCAACTGAACTGTCTAATAATAATTTTTTTTTTCAAATTTCAGAATACTAAAATATAAAAACTGGAGGATTGTATTACAAATTAAAAACATTCCATTCTGCGAGTAAAAAAAATATTTATTAAGTTTCAAATTGAAGAGATATACTGCAGATGTTGTTGAAGATAACTCATCTCGCAAAAAAAGAAAGAGAAAGTCTAGGTATATTGCAAAAACAGACTTTCCAGTCTTAACCATTTGTTATTTTCTCTAAATACCTATTTTGGAATTTGACGTTATGTTAGAGAAGTGTGTTAATATGTAGATAATTTATGGGAAAGTTGTAAGTATCTTATTTTTACAGAAATGTTAAATATGTGTGCAATTTTTATGAAGTTGCAATAATAAGTAGTGTCATGGTTCGAATTATAATTTTGACGTTCCATCTTGTTTCACTGTTCTGTTGGTTTTGCAAAACAGCGCGTTGAAAATAAAATGTCGAATCCAAATTCATCTTACGAATAACTTAGCGGATTTGCTAATCTTCCAGCATAATTAAGTCAGTAGTACTTTATAAAACATCATTGCCCCATTAAGCTCTGTATCACATCAAAGTAGAATTTCTGATAAAAAATAACTGTTCGTATTTTATAAATAGCATAGCTTTGGGACCGTTGAACTTATGGCCGGTCACCTCTACCCCATTACCATAACACAGGTTCCTAATTCGTTTTATCTGATTCTGGTCTAAATCAATTTGAAAGGGAACTGTTTAAAGTATGGGTGTGAAAACAGCAACGGCTTTTCAGACTTTTCTTGTAGAAAATAACCCATAAATTCAAATGACTCGAAAATACTATTTTCGGTCCATCAATCTAAGGTTGGCTGCCTCTCTTACGTTAAAATTATATTTACTATAAAAACGATGCTATAACAAACAAAAATATTTGCCAACTTGTTTTTACAGACCAAATAATGCAGTACGTGCGGAACCTGGAGCAGCGCGTCAAGCAGCTGGAAGACGACAAGCGCTCGCTCACCCACAAAATCAATCAGATCGCCTCCAGCACGGGCGACCCGTCCATAGCAGTCCCCCAGGACAACGGCGTGGTGGGCGCGCTGAGCGGCCGTCCGGAAGCCGTCGTGCGGGCCCTCCAGGTTCTCGAAGTTCGAGAACAGTTGGAGAGAGAGGGCCGCATGCCCGAACGAGGAGAGAACATGTCGGACACGACCTCCCAGGACATGGATGATGGAGAGAAGGCGCTCGTTCGCGAGATGTGTAATGTAAGTTTTTAACAACAATAGCACAATAGTCTCTTCTTCCCAGTGTCGGAAATTATTGTCTTGAAAACAGCGGAATACTCAAACGAATCATTTTTATTGTATAAAATGTAAATCCTTTTAATATGTACTTCAAGTGTTCTTATAACATGCATGAAAAAAAATTAAATAACTTTTAACAAACAAGTATTGATTGTCAGGTGACTAATTCACCAATCAGCCTTCAGAATAATTATGATTAGGTCAAAATTCAAATAAATAAATACATGGCTAAGTAGTATAAAAAGTATTTTAATTAGATATCATTTTTGAAATAATGGCCATTGCAGTTGTAGATCGAATTCAAAGAATTTAAAATCTAATAATCATATTAGTAGATGCTGACATTGCAATTTTAGGGAAAGTTAGGCCAGAGGGCAGCACATTCGAAGCCGCCAGATCTAAGGGCACTCCAAAAAAGGAATTTTGTTGAACTCATGGGCTTTATACAGACCTCAAAAAAAAAAACAATCAACGACTTACCGATATAATATTTCAAAACCTCAAAGCACTCTTTCGTTTGATTCTAAAAAAAAGTGGCGCAGTCAGCGACTTACCGATATGAGAAAGATGTAGATGATATTGGATCTTTTTCTTTCTTTCTGATATGATATGATAAATGCGATCTGAGGGCGTCGATCGGTATACAAACGTCAAAATTTGTAGGCAAGCGTCAGTTTTTTTACTTTTATGATAAACACCGACAATTGCGACTATTGGTAAACGGTATTCATCGAAATTATTTCTTTTATGGTTTACTTTTACTTTGTTTTAATTTATTGCAAAATTTTATAGTTATAGTAAATTTCAGCATTTTTTTCATAAAAATTATAGATAAATTGAGGACTGTCGTGAGTTCAATTTTTGGGCAGTCTAGTCTAGTCTTTTCAAACTAAATTGTGGTGTAAATCTTAGTCGTCATATTGGTATACTTACTCGATTTTGTCAATATTGACGTCATAGCCATCTTTTAATGTATGAAAAATTCTTCCAGTTAAAATTTTTGTCGTTCCAGGTGGTATGGAGAAAATTAGAAGAAGGTCCATCGCCTACTAGACGATAGTGTTCCCCTAACAAACCAGCACCTCTCCTTCTAAATGTACAATTTTCTTGCCAATAAGAAAATCTTAGTTATACTAATATGTATATATATTTTCCCTATTAAAAAGTATTATTGTTTTCCTCGACTATTTATTTCTTATTTTTTAGAGTTAGGATATATTTTGTTATATTTGTACAGATAAAGTTTTATATGTAATAAAATACGGAAAAACTTGAATTACGTGTTTGATTCCTTTCCTTATTTACCTTAATTCAACAATGAAATTGGTATTTTGATTTCAATTCTTTTGTAAATACTTCAGTATTTGAAAGAATATTTGAAGAAATTTCGAAATACTTTATTAATTAAATATATTGAAATTTGTATTAATCACATAATTTTCATAACCTCACTCCTGCACATGCAGAAAATTATCGTTTTTTTTTTAATTTCAAAATTCAAGCATTATTATATTATTACCTAATTCTTAAAATAAAGGATATAACCGAATCTTTATTGAAATGTTTCCCTAACCTCATTTTAGTGAGGTCTGTCTACAAAACCTCACTTTTGCATATGTTTTTGCATATACACGCAAACTCCTACTTGCCTCTTTATAAATATTTTTGTATTTTATAAAAGTATATATGAAGCAAACTTTCAATATATTTGTTGATCTATTAACCTAACCTCATTTAAAACCCAATACAGTGATGCCAGATTTAGGGACTTTTCCCTAGTTCTAGGGAGGAAATGGTCCAGATTTGGGGAATAGGAAATTTTATATGTATGGATTTTGTATTTTCGGGCAAAATAAGGAAATTCAAAATTTAATAAATCAATGCATTAATCCGTTTTTTGAGACATTTCAGTAACTTGTAAATACTTCAGTATTTAAGAACATTTGAAGAAATTTTGAAATACTTCATTATATTGAAATTTGTATGAATCACATAATTTTCATAACCTCACTTCTGCACGTGCAGAAATTTTTTTTTTTAATTTGAAAATTCAAGGATTACCTAATTTTTAAAATAAAGGATATAACCGAATCTTTATATTGAAATGTTTACCTAACCTCATTTTTAGCGAGATCATGTTTACATAACCTCATTTTTGCATATGCTTGGACACACAAAAACTTTTACCTACCTTTTTATAAATAATTTGGTATTTTATAAAAGGATATACGAAGCAAATTTTCGGTATATTTGTTGATTGACTAACACTAACTTTATTTATAACCCAATACAGTGATGCCAGATTTAGGAACTTTTCCCTAGTTCTAGGGAGGAAATGGTCCAAATTGAGGAATATGAAATTTCATATTGACGATTTTATATTTTCGGGCAAAATAAGGTAATTCAAAATATAATGCAATAATTTTTTTTTTCTTGACATTTTAGTAACTTGTAAATTTGTTTTGAGTTCATTAATTTCCAGTTTATTTGTATCGACATTTTAATCAAATTTATTTCGGGGGACGTTCGGGAAATAAAAAAAACACCTCGTAACACCTTTAAATCTAAAAATTTATTTGGTCTTGATTCTGAAAAACGACACCAAAGTGACACACAGTAAAAATATTAAACATTAGGTAAACATACCTAGTCATACAAAAGGAACGGCAAATTCTCTATCTAAATACGGCGAGTTGAATCGACTAACTAATACAAACTTTTCTGCGGTAATATAACCGTGTAACAAGACTGGAGACTTTTGTTCCAATCGAACTACACCGTTTTACATAATATCCTTAATTAAAAAAATTGTATGCCACACGTCGTTGAGCATTACTTTTTTTTCGCTTTAGGGCAGTTTTTTTGCCGTAAACAAGAAAAATCCTACAAACTTAGTTTATTTACTGGCAAATTCAGACGTTTAGATTAGAGAAAATAATGAACACACCCCCTTTTAAACCCTTACATCTTGTACAGCACTAAAGAATTGTATGTAACATTTTATTTGTACTTTCAGATCAAGGTATAGTAGTAAATAAAAAAAAAACCCTTAAATTTCGCATGTTCTTAATCTAAATACACGACACACAAATTGAAGTGGAGTCGAACGTTTAACTTACAAACGTTACCCGTGCAATAAAAATAAAAAAAATAAGAAATTCTGGAGGATGGAAATGACATTGTTTGCAAAAAAATGAGTTACGATGAATTGTCTTAATTAATTTAAAAATCTAGGGGGTATAGGGAATGCCTATCCTATTCCTAATAAAATTAACCAATCGCTTTCACTCCCTGTGGAACCTGGTAAATAATGAAATTTTAAGAGTTACTTTATAATCGACATGCGACGGTTACTGGCAAATACCCTTTAACATATTACTGTCATCACATTCAGGCATTTCCAACGCCTCCTAGATCTTTAATCCGAAACAGACCCTAAATAAATTGAGAACTTTAAGTATGAATTGAAATTGAAACGATTAGTCAGCACAATAAATTGATGAAATATGAGATACTGAGTGCTCGTTAAAGCTACATTGCCAATTTTCTGAAAAACTGCTCACAAACAAAAATCATAGCCAGTTCAAATATATCTAGAAGGCTGCTAGATGTAAAAAATCATTCTTGGTTCACGCTGTATATATTAAAGACGCCCCACCTAAAATTGTGTGCGGTGGTATCGTACGCATGCAGTTTTGTACCATTATTACAAATACAAAAAATTTTGAGAAATATACAAACAGCTGCAATCGGATAAAATTAAGAACATTATGCTGTCACTACTACCAATAAAAATATTCATCAGGCACCTAAAAAACTAAGTAATACACATGGGAAAAATTGCCTGTACAGATTTCCGTTACATCCCGATCCCAACGGATCAGTAACGGTGCCTCCTCCTGTCGCTGCCGCTACGCCTGGGGCGGTACTCTTCGTAGCGGTTGTTGCGGTTGGACCTGTACGACCTCCTCCCGCCGTGCTCCCTTTCGCGGTAGTACTCTCTGTCTCTATCCCTGTGGCCTCTAGACCGACCGTAACTAAAAATATGTACCCAACAATCAACCCATAATTCAACCAACAATTTTTTTCCGCTATAAGCTATTAATGTCCACGCCAAGTCAACGATTCATATGGGGTCAACCACCATCATACAAATCCATATAATACTGTTTAACCAAACCATATAAATAAACAACCATGTGCCTGACAAATCACAAAACAACAATTAGGTAATAAACGGAAAATAAACTTATGAAGCACTTCGTATTATCAACACATCTATAAACTCGTCGTGGCAAATTAACTTTTTTTCTATCCCGTTTACCAAGTTGAAACAGATCGCGATTTACGCAATGAATTTCAGCACTTTCGTTCATCGTTTCCGTTATTCTTTTATCGTAAAGTGCCACGCCTGTTCTGGTGTCGGTATACGCAATACTTAGGAACCTGTTTTATGTTTACGGATTCGTAACAAAAATCAGCTCCAAAATTTTGCAATTTCATACATTGCAGCACTTTTTGCGTGTTACAATTTATTATTAAAATTTAAAGTTACCAATTTTTAGATTAAAAAAAGTTACAATCAGTTTTATCGCCTCAAAGTCCTCTACCAATATTGTTATCAATTTATCAGGTAAAATAAGTTTGAATTATGGAAAATGTCGTAGATTTAATAAAAACTGTTAATTATTTTTTAAAAGCGAGTAATTTGTGAATCCCAGTGTTAATGACCTCTGATATTGACCTAGTTTAGGTGTACTATGCAATAACAATCCACCTGATGAGATATGACAATCAAATTCTAACCAGAAAAAATTTTCTATAGAATTATGTGAATTTTTTTAACATAAAATATTTAGAAAACAGAATTGTTAAAGTTTGAGTGCTTCAGTTGCATTAATTAGGTAATTAATTTTATTTAAACAATTTTAATAGGCACAACGAGCACTTTAATGCTTGGTACCCGCTTCCTGCAGGAAATGACTAAACAGTATATTAAGCAAAAGTGTAGCAGTAAACAAAAAGTATAATTACAGGAGTATTGTTTTACTAGATAAAAAACGCCGTGTACGGCAAATAATTGATAAAATTGGATGTGAAGGACATGACACAACAAATTTCAAAGATAAAAACAGAATGGTTTGAATCCTAACAACCAGTTATCAAATAATAAAAACAGTATTGTACTTGCTGGTAAACAACATTTCTGGTGACCTTTTATCACCGAAACGTATGTTTACACATACATGGATATCTTGTTAAATAACACTGGAGTTTTCTAAAAACATTATACTAAGTACTTATTTGTGTACGTTATTATCAACGCTAGTCGACTTGGTATAAATCAAAAACAATCAAGATCGAGTAAAAATTACAGAATCATCGAGTATTTCTTGATAATCGGTTTTTAATACATCTAATTAAATAATAACAGATAAGTGATAGTGATAAGTGAAAAATCATAAACAGCGTAAAGAATATGGCGCAGAACAACCCATTTTTGCTCACTTTGCCAAGAGAGAACCGTGCAAGTTCTTCCGGATATTCAGGTAAGTGCGTCCATTCGTATTTCCTGTCGTTACATTAATTGATAAAATTACTACATTATGAGAACCTCGTTAAGCTGAAAAGTCAACTGCTCGTATTGTTCCTAAACTACCTGATTAGATAAAAAAACCGTTATATGTACCATCGGGATTTGCAATACTTGAAAAGTTTTTAACTTATACGAAACTTCCATAGTGTTTGCACGAGCATAATACACATTTTATGACAATCGTTCTTTCAAATAAAATATTCATCATATTTCAAATCGAAACAATGCCTCATCGATTTAAATTATCATATTACCGACCCGGAAACATTTCAACGGTGAATTTTAAGTTCTTTACAAGAGTATAAAGTTTCATTTTTTAAATCGCTGTTTAAACTTGGAAAACGTCAGTAAATTACTTCGTGCGTTTTCTTACCTTAATAGATAAAAAAACTAAAAAAAAAATACATTAGAAAAGAAAGAAATTTTACCGGTCTCTGTCCCTTTTCTCGCCGCCTCCGTTGATTTCCGGGCAATCTCTATAGAAATGTCCCGAGTACCCACACTGGTAACATCTCATATTAGTGTTGTAGAAACGTCTTCCGGAACCTCTGGTTCGGGGCCTAGCATAAGTTACCCGGATTCTAGAGCCATTTATTTCACTAAAATGTAAAAACAATCATGAAATATTCCTGCAACGAACGCCCTATACCCCTTACACTCCATCAGTGCCTTTTAAGGCAGAAGCAGCTGCTTTCTTATCTTTAAAAACAGCGAAGCCAAAGCAAGGGGTACTATTCGTCATCCACACTTCCTTAAGTGAACCGTAAGGCGAAAACACCTTCTCTAAATCTGATCTCCTGACATCGTCTCCAATGTCAGCAATGTGTAATCTGTACCCATCAACTTCACTACTACGGCTTCTCGAACGTGACCTAGATATTAAATATATTTAAAGTTCTGCAATTTACTAGTAAGTGGGAATGCTTACCTAGACAAACTTGATCTGCTGCGGCTCCTACTTTTCCTGTCTTCCGCACTACTATTCGAAGCACTTCTGCTTCTACTCCTTTTAATATCCGAGAATGGGGATTCTTTGTCGTTGTCTCGCATTTTTCTGTTAGAGGATTAAAAGATCCATAAACAACGTGCAATTGTTTAAAAAATCGATGCTTTAACACAAGTTATTTCATATAAGAACCTCTGATATTCAGTATTGCTCAACTTTGCATCAACAAAATCGTCGAGTCGGCACACATGCATTTATAAACCCATTTATCCAATTATAAAAAATAATCGGCAAGGTTTCCCAAATCCAATTTATTGATTAAACCATTTATCGGAAGTAAAATGTTAAGGACAGAATTAACGAGCGGTATAATTATTTATAGTACTTACTTTTCGACCATTTGCTGCTACAGATTCAACCAGCCTTTAAATAACGAGCTAATGAAAATTTCACTGAATCCAACGATTCCGGCGCATAAAATAGTGGCTGATTCTGATGACGCTGGCAAATTTTAGAAGATGGCGCAGTTAGAACAACAGTGGTACCAACACATAAGTTCAAAGTAGCGTTCTTTGGGAAACGAATAGGTTTGTTCAGTTCTATTGCCCGAATAAGAGCAACTTTTTTAAATCAGGTTCTGATAGTTGATAGAATTAACATGCAATAAAGCTAGATCATCAGTAAGATACGTGCGAACAGCCTCTAACAAAGTTGAGATTCTAATCTTGGAACCTCAATCAATCTGTGAATTTTATGATCCATAGCAAATTGTTAAATAAATAAACAAAATCAGATCATCTGCTCTGACACAAATTAACAGCATTTTTATTAGATTGCTGCTCAGATTTGATTCTAGTTTGTGGCAACACATTCCAGTTAATCGTTTTTGTTAATGTTTTGCCGACTATCAAATTTTCATGAGATAATGTATGGACTGATAGCAATTTATAGCTTTGTTGTATTAGAAACAATTTCCAGTAGTCAGAAGCAATCGCATTTGATTCGATACAATGAACTTTGAACATTATGTAAGCATTATAACAGAATGAGCATGTGTCTGATCGTTGGAAAGTATTTTGGACTACTCCAGGAACAAACTTTATAAAACCGATGGTACCTTAAATAGTGTGACATAAGTGACAGCGATGGTACCAACAATTATACCAACATCACCTGATTTGTGTGCCAAAAAACGGTCCACAAAACAAGAAATTCCCCATGTGTTACAATTTTGTTTCCCAAAGACAATGTTTATATTTTTAATTAATTAAAATGGGTAATGCAGGGAGCAGCGTCGTGCACAGGGAAAGGCAAAAATCTAGTGATACTGCACCATCGTCTCCATCCAAAGAGGGCCAGGCGTTTATTTTTGATAGAAAATCAGAGAGTAGAATCCAGCCCCAAGGTTCCCATGAAGATGAGGTCCCTTATTTCACAAAACCTCCAGTTGCTTATGAACCCAGCAGACCAAGGGCAAATACAGGTATTTTAAAATCTCACCTAAATCTTTCGATACTGCTAAATGAGTCATATACAAATTAGGGAATGAATATTTATTTATAATTGTTCATGTTTTTATTTTTGTTCAAGTTTCTGAGGGATCACAGTTACGAAATGCAACAGAGTCGAAGACTCCCACAGTATTTCGATGGGAAGGAGGCGGAAGGAATGTGTATATTAGTGGGACTTTTACAAATTGGCAGACAATACCAATGGTAAAAAGTCACGGGGATTTCGTGACAATTATTGACTTACCTGAAGGTGAACACAAGTATAAATATTATGTAGATGGTGAGTGGAAGAATGATCCCACTAGTAAAATAGTTGACGAGGATGGTGAAAAAAAAAATCTCATTACTGTGAAACAGTCTGATTTTGAGGTAAGAAAGAGTTTTCTGTTTTATAACGTTTCCTCGGCAACTTTTCTACTTAGGTATTTCAAGCGTTGGCGAAGGACAGCGAGAGTCACAAGGACGACTCCCAAAAAGAATTCGGACAGGAAGTGCCCATAAACAAACCTTGGGAGAAAACCAGCGGGCCCCCGATTCTACCCCCACACCTGTTACAAGTTATATTAAATAAAGACACACCCTTATCGGTGAATATTAACCTTGTTATTGTTTCGTAGTCTGAAACCTTTTTTTTCAGTGTGAGCCTACCCTACTGCCAGAACCGAACCACGTGATGTTAAATCACCTGTACGCGTTATCGATAAAGGACGGCGTGATGGTCTTGAGCGCCACGCACAGGTATCGGAAAAAATACGTAACCACCCTCCTCTATAAGCCAATTTAATTTATACTTCTAATTTATTTTTAAATGTAAATAATTCTAGCAACGTATTTAATTTATTTAAACCCTAGATTTATACTGACATGTTCTTTCCCGGTTGATTTGCCAGTCCGTACACGTAAATGTTGCCTATCGTGATGTGTTTATAGTGACGCTTTTCGCTGAAATCTTGAAGTGAGTGGCATATGCGAGATAAATTTAAAAAATTTCACAACGTATTTCAAAGGTTTTTTTTTGTCAAATGTGAAATATGGTCAGAATTTCATCGTCTACAGGACAAGTGCCTTCGAGAAAAGTTACTAATATGCCATTCAGATTGGGGTTGCTATTTTGTAAATATAAGATACTTGTAGATTTACTACAACACACCAAAAATCTGTTACTTTTTAATAGTTCTGTTAAAGAAGCAATAATGTAACTAAAAATATGAAGATTAACATTTTTCCATATACAGGGTGTCCCAATTCGTAGTGGTGCAGGCCGTTAGTGTAATAAATAAAAAGTAAATGAAGTTCCAGCATTTTTTATTATACAGGGTGTCCAGGATATGGTGGGTAATTTCTTGGACTTGTAAAAATGACGTCACAAGTTTATATACATTTTTTTTTACATGTTATACATGTTTTGATAGTTCAAACTCTTCTTTTAATGTATTCAATTTACCGATAGCTACTTTGGAGCCCAGAACCCAAAAAAACTGTATAGGCCTACTTTTTAAATTTTCATTGCCATTTTTAAGATTTTTGACAGTTTTTAAATGACAATGTACTTGCTTGATATCGATACAACGAACTGATTTCGAGATAAAATCGTTTAACGATAATTTTCGACATACGTTAATTGTACCAACATGAAAACAAAAGTCGGATAATTTATGCAGTGAAATAAGTATATTTTTTCGTTTAAAAGAGCACAAAGGTTGCAAAAATGACGACAAAAACTAAAAAAGTAGGCCTATTATTAATTTTTTTAGGAGGGTCAAAATTGCTGACGGCGTTTTACCCCCGGATCTGCATTCTATCAGTAGATCGAATACATTAGTAGAAACAGCTTCAAATAACGTAGCTTCTATTAAAATCGAAATTTGATGAGAAACAAAAAAATTACAATGAAAAACGATTTTCGATCAACCAGTAACCCTACAGGGTGAGCCCAAATAAAAAAAATAATTATACAAGCTTATGATATTTTTTGCAAGATCTGTTCAAATTTGGAAGATTGCCTGCCATTTCCTTTATACAGTTTAATATTTTATATCCCCAAAATAATAAATCCTGAGATTGCTATAATTTTTTTTAAGTGCTGAAGTCAAACGATGTAGGAACGATTTTTTTTGTATAATTTTTAATATTAAAAAAAATGGAGCAATCCGAATGAATGGTGATAGAATATCGTAAATTTCTTATGAAAATATTACCAATATAATTAAAAAAAAAATGGGATTTAAAAAATCATAGCAAGTTTACGATTTAAGAAAGTTAGTTTGCAAATATTCGCGATCTTGGGAATTATTTACCTGAAAAATATTTGAATTTCATTTGTTTTTTAATGGCCTGTACGTCTATAAATTGGTACACCCTGTACGGGTGAATCCAATAAATGATTGCCTTGACGAAAAGTAGGTTATTTTAATGAAAATAATTTCAAAATTATCAGGTGTTGAGAAGCTTTCTCTCTTGATTTTGCCCTCAAATTTACTCTAATCTTTTAAACGGATCACATTGAGTCTTTAAGAGGGCTCTATAGCAAATAGGCAACCGGTAATACATTTTTATCGTTTTTGTTACACAGTTTGTCTAAATATGAATTAATGCACGAATAACGGACTTTCCTCCATTCTAATGCAGATTTTCTATGAAATGGACTTAGTTTGAAACTCAAATCACTTTTTGGTGTAAAGAAATTTGTAATTTACGATGTTCAAAAGTGGCAAATTACAAATTTCTTTACAACAAAAAGTAATTTGAGCTTCAAACTAACTCCATTTTATAGAAAATATGTGTTAGAGTGGAGGAAAGTCTGTTATTTGTGCATTGATTCATACTTAGACAAACTGTATAAGAAATTCTATAAAAATATATCATTTATTTGAATCACCATGTAAAGAATTAAGCGTATTTATTTTTTTGTGCCAATATATTTGGTGGTGTATATACATATAAAAAAAAGGTTATTGGAATATCTACAGTGTGTTCTCGCATAGATTTCACAATAGGGAAGACATTTTTATTGTTCAGTTTATAGGAAAATGTCTTTCTTTGTAAACACGTTTGCTTGTCTTCAAACTTCAATCTCAAGTGAAAAAACTTTAACTCTAAACGAACTACTTTAGAACAGAATTTCGTGTATATTTAACGATTTTCAAATATTTTCCTGAAATTTAAAAAAATTGTAATCACGTATTTGGTGCTTGGAATTGTAGTTTCAAGACGAGCAGGCGTTTTTATAAAAAATTCCATTTTCGTGTTTTCCCTTTTGCAAACTGTAGGAACACGCTGCTATATATAAGATTACTTTTGTTGTGCCTATGAAAAAAGTAAAACAATAAGTATAACGTAAACTTAAGATTGTAAAAATTATGTAGAAATGTTGATATCGTAACCAATATATAGTTTTCACGAGCAAGTTTTTTAATCCCTCGTCATTTTACGAAGTTTATGGGACGTGATAAGATAAACTAGATTGTAAATAGACCGATTAATCTTCTAGAGTGAATTATTAAGACATAATCAGTTAAGACAATCATGTAAGTCTGTTTTGTCATTTTTTTAATTTTATTTATACCCGAGTATTTCGAAATAAAATGAATTGTTCATTGAAACGACCCATATATTCATTTTTCCTCCTAAACAGTGACCATTAATTTTATTTTCTTTACGTTGGCAACATTAAAACGTAACATTCTTTTTCATCAACTGGGATTTTCACAAAATTCAATTCAACCAATCAGCGATCGCATTATCTCGAGAGTAGACGTAACGGTTTATCATGGTTCATGTAAACGATGAGGTTGCTTTTGCTGTACAGCAAAATAAAACACTCGCTCAACGATAAAAATAAAGTATTTTTATTGAAAACTAAGCTTGTGAAAGAGACGTGTCGTTGGGGCGAGTGTTTCCTGGAGAGTCGTCTTGGTGTGGAGTCACTCGCAGAAGTATCAGGTCCTTGGCGCCAATCTGCCGTCGACCTTTTTTTTGCGTCCCGGGTGGCGTCAGGATGGCGCTATTGACGTTGTACTTAAAAATGGGTCACTTGCAGCATGTGTACCCACAACGAATTTTAATATTGGTGATGCTTGGATTAAGGGCTGTTCATGTCTGCGCGAGTAGATATTATTAAAAAGTAATAAATAACATACTTTTATTAGTTCGAGATTCATTTTTCACACAATAATAGAAATAATAATAATAATAATTAAAAACGAACGAAATACATAAAATACACACAACTCTGTCAAAAATCACTCGGTCGAGAAATATTAAAACAATATATTGCAGCACCCGTTATAAAAGACCCTTAAAATTAACAGTACGATAAAATAAAATTAGATCTATAAAATTCTGGCCCGTGACCACCCTTTCAGCTGCCGTTTCTCTCTCTTTTAATGACGAAATTTCCCCTGTGAACGGAATCGAAACTGTACCCACCAACTTTTCGCAATCGTTTGAACCTAAACAGTGAATCGTCGTTTATTAGTAACCTGCGGAGGCTCGAGCGGGGGCTGGTGGAGGCCAGGGGAGGCCCCGCGTCTGAACTGCCTCGGCGGGAGGGGCATGACGATGGTCGTAGCTTCACCTGTCTGAACACGTCCGATGTGATCGCAGGCTTGAAGAGGCGACGTGACGTCGTTAAAGCGTTAGGACGATCCTAAAAACGTTTTCAAATATTCAAAAATTTGAAGCGTCTGAAAATCTTGAGGTGTCGAATGACCAGAAGTATTAGTTTCCAGCTTAGGCGTTTAGTTTCATGTCATATGCGTGCAAGTAAGGAATTTTTAATAATCCCAGTACGGAGTTACATACTTACCGATGTTTTCTTAAGTTTTACTTTCAAAATATCATCCAGTGATATTACAGGCCTAGAATTGTCAGTAGGAGTTTTGGTTTTGCTTTCCTTCGAAATCTTCAGTGGATTAGAAACTGCTGTTGATAATAGTGGTGGTGGCGGTGGAGGTGGTGGCGGCGGCGGTGGTGGTGGAGGTGGCAAACAAGGCATTTGAATAGGTGCCATTGGTGTGTATTTTAAACAATTAAATTGTTCCTTAAACTGAAATAAAGCCTCCTTCATCTATAAATAATTATTATTATCGAATAAAATTAAAAATATAAAAAAAAATATTAAAAATAAATAGGATTAAAATTACCTCATTCAGTTCTTTACGCAGCATTTCCATGCTATCCGCGTTAGATTTTTCTTTTTCCAATCGTGATTTAACAAGTCTAATTTCTTCGGTTAGCTCCTCCATTTTCACGTTAAGTCTGGCAATATCTTCTCTGTACCCGTCACACTTACAAATGGGTTTCCCAGAACATTGTAGCATTGAACTTTCATTGTAAACGTCGCACATTAAAGACACGCTCTAAAACGATAGGAAAAACAATGCACAGCCGAAAATATATTACGTGAGTACTTACATTTTTCAAATAAACCCCTAGCCGAGTACATAAGTTCATCACCTTAGAAATTCTGGTGTACTTCATCAGTATAGTCAGTAGTTTCTCACATATTCCACCTTTAACTAACTCTACACCGTCCACTGATGATCTAATGATATTTAACCTAGAATAAGTCAAAGAATGTCTTTTACTGAATATTCTTGTCAGAATTTTCAAACTGCTCGGGCTGGTTTTGTTATGAAGAACCTACAAAGTTAATAAGTATAAGCTTTACTTTACTGAATATTACTGATGAGAAAACCAACCTTTTCCGACGATGGACTTTCATATAAATTCAAATTCAGACCTAATTTTGGAGGTTCTAGAAGGTCCAGATTATTTCGTATATCCAGGACCGAACTGGTATCATTTACGTTTTCTTTTCTCTCTCTTAAATTATGCACTATACTATCGTCTTGATTCGATTTCTCTATCGGCGTAGAATTTTGTTGGAATAAATTTGAAGAAAAAATCGAACCGTATTTATTTCTCTCTGGTCCAGTCATACTACAACTATTATTTACAGGAGTAGCCCATATTGGTGATAACTCATCCTCAAATGATTCCGTGTTATTTCTTTGTGCATTGGGATTCTTTACTGGTGTAAATAGTTCTAAGGGACTAATAGGTTTACTTCTGTTCAAAGAGTCATCATTAAAACATGCTCGCACCACTTCATGTGATGGAGATTTCCTTCCACGACCTTTGCGATTTCTCCGATTTCGTCTACGTTTCATCTTTATTATAACTAAAAATAATACAAATTTAAATTCTAACCGTCTCTTACGTCAAAACAAGTATTATTTTTAGAAACAAGTAATCATATATTTAATTGTATATATTATACTTACCTTACAGCTAAATAATGCCAAGTATGAATTGGTGCCACATTCAGTTTTCCTACTAAAAAACTTTTATAAAAAAACAAACCTACGATAAAAAGGCATTTCGTTTGAAACATGTAAATTCTGTGGTTTGAAACTGAAACGTTGGAATTTAAATTTCAAAATTAAAGAGTTTGGGAATTATGACATGACTAGATGGCAGCACTGCTTAGAACTCAAACTTTTTAGAGCTACATGGAGGAAGCGCCACGTTAAAACGTGTACACGCTGTAGAGAGAAAGAGCAATAGTTCTCGCTCTCTTAATTTTATTTGCATATCACGAGGGCAAAGAGTATATAATTCTTACTCTTTGACGAGGGAGTTGCATTAGCCAATAACGTGCCTGTGCGAGAGAGAGAAAAATAGTACACAAACTTTCTCTCTCTCTCTGTCACTTGTCTACACAGTCGCCATAAGTTTGTTTTCTCCATGATGTGTGATCAAAGCCAGAGGTCCCCAAACTTTTTTCTCACATTTTTTTTTTAATATGTAATAGTGTAGTAAATAAACCTTGTGTTTTGAGTGGATTAAGTCAAACAACGCCAATCAAAAATTTAAAAAACATTTAATATATTAAAACAGGACAAATTAATATAATCTATTTACTTATACCCATGAGTATCTTTGAAATATTTGTATAAATTAATTAACACCTATCTTTTAATCTTCAACTAACGAATCTAAAACTGTTAATCATCATTAAAAATGAAATAGACAACACAATACGATTTATTATTGCAAGTAAACTTTTTTAGTCCCCAGACCTGCTGACGTTTGGAATGTATATTGAAACGTGGATATTTCAAAGACACCCTGTACGAACCAACACAACAACGATTCATTTAGACATAACGTTATGCTTAGATTTGAGATGAGTCGTCAGAGATACTTTCTGCGGGAAGCCCATACTGCAGTATTCACATATAAACGGTCTTTCATTCGTGTGTTGCCTTGTGTGTATTTTTAGGGCGTATGGGCTCGTAAATCCTTTCTTGCAAAAAGTACAACTATGCGGGCGTTCCCCAGTGTGGGACTGTGTATGTTTCTTCAGATCTCGCACTCGTTTCCCACACAATGTGCACATTACCTTCCGAGCTTCCGGATCTGAAATGACAAGTATCAATGTGATAAATATGTTACAAACATTAGCGAAAGTTACCTGTGTGTGTTTTCACATGTCTGTGGTGCTCCGATTTGACTCTAGAAGTTTTTCCGCATATTTGACACGTGTATATAATTCCTTTATGTATGAGCGTATGTCCACGTAACGATTCGGGGTTTTTAAACACTTTCCCACACACATTGCACGTAACCGGACCTTCCAAATGCATCTGAAC